CCCCCCGCCGGGCTCCCGCCGCCGCCGGGCACACACGACGCCCGGGCAGCCTGGACACCCCCTCTTTGGCAAAACCTGGTGCCTCGTTGGCTGGCACGGAGCGGGGACAGGGCAGAAAGTCACCCCCCTCCAGAGAGGGAAGGTTCTTTGAGATGACTATTGGTGAAACAGCCCCTGCTGCGGCACCCCCAGCCCTGCAGCCCCGCGGCATTTGTGCCCCTGCTGCGGTGTCCCCAAGGTCCGCAGCCCCACAGCATTGACGCCCCCCAAGGCCTGCAGCCCCACAGCATTGGGGTGCCCCAAAATCCGCAGCCCCACGGCATCGGTGTGCCCGTCGCAACGCCCCGTCATGTGTCCTTCAGCTCCCACCACAGTGTGGATGGTGGCGAGAGCATGGGGGGCAAGATAAGGTTTGGGGGGTGCTGGAGAGCAAGCTGCAACATCAGCCTGTGCCCCTCCAAGCTGGGCAAACTCATCCCTTGGTCTCGTAGCCACAGCAACTCTGACCACGATGGGAGCGAGGAAGGGCTGGGGAGCCCCATGGCCTCTGCTGCTAAAAGGGTAAGAGAGGAGGAGGCAAGAGCAGCCCCCACTTCAGTCCCACCATGAGACCCATGGGAAGATGAAGGAAGCAACTGAGGGAGACCAAGGGCCCCTAGTCCCACACGTCCTGGGAAGCCCCAGCTTCACCATGCGGCTTCCCAGGGGAGGAGGGCATCGTTCTCTGCCCTTATTGCACCATCATAAACGTTATCAAGTGCAGATAAGTTGGCTTAGGGTTTGCTTTCCAAAGGAGAAGTTTAATTACAAAAAAAATGCCAGGGAGAAGAGGGGAACAAAACTCACAGTACAGGAAATTAACTGCTCTGCTCCCGATAGATTAATGCATTGGAGGAGGAAGGAACAAGAACCTACTGGCTGGGTAGATAGCTGGAGTTTCTTCTATAACCTCTACCTTACAATTTTTATTGCTCAAGTTTGTGCCAGTGTCTCACCACCATGAATGTAAAACCATGCCTAGATCTCTGCGCCAGGTTTCGAGCTCCATAAAGAAAGTACCGCAGACATGAGAGTTCTCTGCTCTCAGACAGCACTGCTAACTTGGGTCTTGTTCACTTTCTTTGGCCGTACTTGGGTCTTTCACCATTGCAGCTGCATCAAGCCTGGTAATGTGACTCAAGTTGCTGAAGTCTGTCAAAATCAGAAGCCACTTGCTCCATCTCACTATGTTTGCGAAGTGGAGCAACGGGGACACCAGGTGCTGGGCAAAGCCTGTGAGCGCTGACCCAGAGCCACGTCCTCCAAGAACTCGACTCCTCACTCCCAAACACGAGTCATATCAGGATCCTGCTGGGAGGCCACAGACATGCAGACTATGGCACCTTTGCAGAGCAAAGGCTCAGTGAAGATACAGTTGCACAGAAACCAGGGAATTTCTCAGGAAAAGGAAAGTAAAACCAGCATCACTTGTCATGACTGAACCTCTGCAAGCTGATCTAGATCAGCTTGGCTCTTGGTTTGGTTCACATGCCACCTTGCTCTTGGCACAGGACAACACTCCTTTAGGAACAGACCAGGTCTACAATGTTTTCTCAAAAAAATCGAGAAGCAAATGATCCGGGAAGCCAAAGTCAAGTTGCACGATTAAGTATCCCTAAAAAGAATGAGGCCAAAAAGGTATATTAACTTACAGTGCACTTCCAACAAGGGCTTGGGAAGCCACATATAACTGCACTCACCTTTCTTGTGATGATCTCAGGACTCTGGATTTCAAACAGATGAAGTCCTTTGCTGTTCATCAGCGATATTAAAGTTGGTTGGATCCCTATGGAACCAGTATAACCAGCCGGTGATGGGGATGGCCTACCTGACTTGATGTCCCCCATGTACTGTGACCCATCTGCCCACTGCCAAAAGCTAATTGTATCCCAACACCCCATGACCTTCAGCCTGTCAGGAAACTTGCTCCACCTGTCCCAACCATTTCCAAAGACTTTTCTGTTTCCCCAGTAAATCCAGCAGAAATTCCCAGCAGTGATGTGAGATTCCCTGTAGCTGCCAGGGTCGTTGCTGTATTTGTTTCCAATCCTTAGTGTTAGGAATGCTGCTGTTGGACATTGTTGAGTACTTTGGCAAAGGGAAAACTCACTTGAAATCACTTCTGGGATCCCAGTGACCAAGATCATTTTCTGCAGGAAGTTTCTTATGGATTCGTCATTCTGCAAGCCAGAAAAAAAAGTCATAGAAAAAGATTTTACAGGTGTATTTTAATAATAAGTGGCCTAAAGGATGCGTCCTAAGGACTTACCCCACTTGGATCAGCCGTGCAATTAAAGGCTTTAAACTCTATCCTGAAAAAAAGGAAAAAGGCGGGGAAAAACGGTCACTAAGGGCTGCAGAAATCTTTTCCACGCTGCTCTCAGACACGTACTGCAAGGAGCAGTGACACCCTCAAGAGCCCTTAGTACCAACCTGGAGTCCAAGGGGTGCAAGTGTAGTTTTTTTTCCGCATACGCTGCTTGGATAGTGACTGTGATTTCCTGCACGGAAGTGAACAGCGTCACTCAGCTCAGTTTGCCTTAGAACAGGGAGTTGTGCTTGGAAATGCTGCTTTTTGGAGCAAAGCTCAACACGAATCTGGCTTCACCTCTGGCTGTCTCCAGGGAAGGACAGGGTTTTCCTTCTGCATTTTCATGCAATGAGTGCTCTGATGCCCATAGCCCCTGTCTATAGGCCTCTAGACAACAGCTTCTTCTGAGGAGCCCAGTATATATGGCTCCGCCCTGAAGATTCAATACTGAAAGAACACCCTTGTCCATGACTTTTGCCATTTCACTGAGTCCTGTGTAAGCAGGAAGAAGTGGTCACTTAGGGTGCTGTCTCACAAGGTCTATCTCAAGCTGAAGGATCAGCAAATTCATTGGGGAGTTGGCCCCCAGGGTTACCGGCACCACCACAAGCTGTCTTGACACTCTTTTATAGACAAATCAAAAAAGAAGCCAATCTCTGAGGCTTGGCCTTTTATGCTTATTTTCTAATTTTCACATATGTACTAATGTTTGCCAAAAGGGAGCATTCTTATATCCAACTGCAGGTCATCTCCAGAGATCTGGCAGGCCTGGAACAGACCATATCCTGAGAAGCACCATTTTAGGGACCTCTAGTTAAGATCTTCTAGAGTCTTACCCAAAGTTATCTCAAGATACCACATAGCCACCAGAGACAGATATGCCCAGTTCCCCAAAGCACCCTCCCTCCTAACTCATCTCTTGCAATACCTGCAGAGAGCAGAAGGGACTATTCTTGCTGACAGCCACACTATATCTTCATTTCCAAGACAACAACCCTCCAAGTAGAGGTCAGAGACAGAATTTATGAGTATGGAGCTTTCCAAAATTAAAACACTCCTTAAATGCAACCTCATCTAGATTCAGGACAGAGCCAGGAGAAGCAAGAACTGACCTTCTCCATATACAGAACCATCAGGGGCTCTTTTCCTGGGGGAAAGATGCTGATCTCTGCAGCTACCAAAGCCTTCACCACTGTCCCTTCTGGCTGGAGAGAGATCTGGGGCTGGGCAAGACTCCACACCTTGGCCACGGAATCATTGTAGGAGGTGCCTTGAAAAATCTAGGTCAAATAAAGAGCAACAGATGAGTTAGGCCTTTGCAACTTGCCATGCATCTGTACCTCCTTTATAGCACTCAAGTCCTCCCCTAGCTCTCCCAGGCCCAATAGCATAGCTGGACTTCAGTGAAGCCGTGACCACATGGAGGCTGGAGAAGTCCTCCCTGAAAAGCACAGCGGTTCCTCCACCAGTCCCTGGGCAGGTTTTACCACCCCAGCCTCGTGAGGTGGCAAGGAAAGGTCTTGAAGCGTTACAATGCAACAGAATCAACTCAAAAAGTTTCTTGTTCAACAGAGCTTTGAACAAGACCAGAAGTTACCATCTCCACAGCTCTCCGCTGAGCCTCTGTGTCTTCGATTTCAAACAGCGCCTTCAGAAACAAACCAGAAACAGATTTTAGAAAACAAAAAGAGGGGGCCATAGCTAGTGTGAACCCACTAGAACATGGACGGACTAGAACATGGACGTGTGGCCTGCAATAAGCTCAGAAGCATGGATGGATTCCTCCAAAGTTCACCTTCCTACCTCAGCACTCACGCAGGAAAATTGGGTTCCTTCACAATGCAATAGATAAATTTTAAACCAGGTGGCATTATCTCTCTAAGGAGACCCCACCAGCCCACATTCTCTGGCATCTACTTAGACACGAAGCAAGCATCACTTCACATGACCAACACACCACTGGGAGGAGATATATCACGTGCTCTGAAGCCACCTTGGACCAAGCTATCCAAAATCCCAATGCCAGGAACCGACGAGGCAGTCATCAGTAACACAATAAACTCCCCTTTGCTCTCCTAAGCAATTTGGGTCTTAGAGGAACAAATATTCTGGCCCGATATTACAATCAAGCCTTCTGACCTGGAATTACCTGGTTGTTTTCTGACCAGGCTCACACATAGTTTCTGACTTCAGATTTCTATCTTCTACAGAAAACTGTAGATCTCACAAAAACCACATTATTTAGAGATTTTAGATAGAGATCTCCACAAAATATGATTTAATGGGAAGGAACCAGCCCTCAGATAGTCACCTGCAACTTCTCCCCGGTGATGGTCAACGTTAGGCGCTTATCTAAGAAAGCCGCTGAAGCCAGAGAGTTGAGGATATGTTCGGACAGCCAGAAGTAGAGCATTCGGGATTCGGACAGCAGAGATGGGGAGAAGAGAGAGTCACTGAAGACATCAGAGTAGTTCTTGTACTGGACGAGGCCCTTTGAAGGAGAGCAAGCGTGTTGGCATCAACGGACATTAAGGAGGTGGGACAAAATAGCCAGACTTGGACTTTTTGCTTATAGCTTCATGGAAAAGGGCTGGCTGGATTCAGAGCGGAGATCAAGCCCCCCCAGCTGACCAAAAGGCTGGAATCAGACACTTGGGCAGGCTTAGCTGCCCACGTTGCAGACTCACCGTTGGCTAGGTGCAGACTCGCCATATAGTGTAGCAAGGAGCCAGCCCTTCCAGACAAACATCACAGGCAGAAAAACCATTGGTTTCTGAGCAGCAAGGGTTACATTACCTTGTGATGAGATTCTAGATAATTTGCTTTTATTAAAGGAACCGATGCAAGGGAGATATCAAGTCTGATATCCTCATCCTGGACAAAATTTGCTGCAGGAAGAAAACAATCCAAAAATAATCTCACACCTGGCATATGCATGGAAGGAAAAGCTTGCAAAATTCACTTTTAAGACTTCATGCAGAGTACTATAACTGCAGGGCCCAGCAGTTATAAAAGGAGCAAGCAGAAACACAGGACTGGGAGAACCAGGACACTTCAGAGCTAGTCTTGACCTTGCCAGCACTCACTGTGACTCTCTCTCCCTACTGGGAAATAGGGATATTCACTCTTGGTTTTTATATTCCTCTCCTTTTTCCTAGTATTTGGGATTGGGAACTGCAGGCAGGCAGGCAGAGACACTCCAGTATCGCAGCCCTAATGCTTCATGTGCGCTCCCGTCCGGGCTGACCAACATCAGCCCTTCTGCAGCTACTCTGCAGCTCTGGTCACTCAATAGCGAAGGAGAAAACTCTTATGAATGGTCTTTCAATGCAATCTCTCTTGAAAAGTCAACCTGACACAGACATTTCAAAGCATAGAATTGCTAAGGCGTATTTTGCTGCTGTCTCAGGGCTTGGAATCCCAGACGTATTTTCAAATAACTTTTTTTGATGGATACTGCCCTGCCAGCATCCGGCTAAAGTGTTAAACTGCCTGTAGGAAAGGAAAGTGGAAGAACAAGAATATTTACCTGCTATCTCTTGTATAAAATTTGCCAGCACCTGGGCAAGAATATTGATTTCCTTGCAAACCTACAAGAGAAAAACAGAAAGGGTGTGTGAAGGCCACAGAAGGGAGATTTTGGGTTGTGTCATGCCAATATTTGGACTCTGCTCAGCTTGACGAGCAACACTGGCAACACATCACTGATTTCACTCGACACCCTGCTTCAACAGACCTTCAAGTCTTCTCCTTGGCTGATCAGCAGTCAGGAGACCCAGCTGCAGGTTGATCTTACCTCACTCTTGAGAACAAGCTTCAGCGTAAAGGCGATGAAATCCGTGAAGAGCTGCTTGATCCAGCCCGGCCTGTGCAAGATGGAGAGGGAGCCTGGTCAGGGCTGCTCGGCAGAGCAGCACTTGGGATCGCACCGCCCCGCTCTGCAAACCAAGTTCTAAAATGATGAGGGGAACAAACTCACTCCTTGTCTCCCTGGAGGTGAAGTGTCAGTCTGTGGAAAGTCAGGTAACAGTCGGAGGCATCAGCAGCCACTTGGTCCTCCTGGCACACTGCATAGGATGGGAAGAGGAGGCAAAACACAAGCACTGATGGCCAACTCAGAGAGAGATGGAGAAGGGTGAGTTCATTTGGCTAGAAGCATGGAGCTGGAGCAAGGTTTTGCTGCAGAGGACCAGCGGGGGCTCCCCCCATGGAGCTTTCACCACGGAGCCATATGCAGGACCAAAGGCACCAGACATCTACGCTTGGAGAGGAGCTCGTCTCTGGAGTGCCGTGCTTGGCCCTGAACCACAAGTCCCAGTGAAGGTCTCCAAAAGACTCCGGACACTGGGAAGTCAGGGTGGGAAGGACTCCCCTACACCCACCCGCAGCGTTCCTGCTCCCAGCCACGGCGCTCCCGTTTCCTCGGAGGAAGCCCGCATGAAGCTCACGACGGCCAGCTCTTACTTACTCAGCTTTATGTTTAGCTGCAGATCAATTGAGGACTCAATTTCAAAATCGACCGAGTGGAAAAGCTGCAAGCTGCAAGAGAAGACGACAAACGTCCAGCAACCGCACGCAGCCACAACGGGAGCGCGTTCTCCCTCAGCCACGGGCTGGGTCTTACAGCACCCATCGTGCAAATCCTTGCACGGTGGTTAAGCAGCTCGGCAGTGCAGAGCCTGAACAATGCAAGATTTTAAGCAACTCTGCCCTGGCTAAAAGCCAATGGAGAGGGAGCCTGCAGCTCAGCACAGGAGCAAGCAGGAGCCTCCTGGGTACTTACAACCAGGCCCCGGCGTAGCCGTAGTTCAGGGTCCCTTTGAAGATGGCCATCACATTTTTAATGGTGATGTCGATGGCATCGTTTTCCTTGAGCTCCACCTCACTCTGCTCGATGGACAAGTTGTTGAGCTGGATGCTGGAAAGCACGAAAAGCCGGCAGATTCTCAGGCTCGTGGGACTCCCGGGCGCAGGAAGACCCGCAGCACTTCCAAAGCAGCCTGCGCCTCCCCTGCAAAGCGCTCGGGAGCCTCTGCAAACCAGAGGGGCTGAGCACAATGACAAGGCTGCCACCAAACGCTTGCAAGCGCGATTGTGCTCTAAAGAACAGTTTTGGCAGCCCTAGGCTGCATCCCATCTCTGCACTAAATAAGCCGTTGGCACCATCTATCGGCCAACGGGCCTGTGGGAAAGCTCAGAAGACTCCTCACTGCCCCGCCAGACAGAGCTCAATGCTGCATTTTTCAGATGGCTGCCCATAGAAGAGGAAAAGCTTCTAACATATACACGGCCTCAGTGTTAAGCTGTAGATTATTTGCCCCAAAGGGGAGGACTGTCCTGCGATGCAAGCACAGGGCGGGGGTGACGCAGGGCGAGCAAACATGCCCTGCTCCAGGCTGACAGACCTTGCCCTTTGCTTTCTGCAGGGATTATGGCATGGAGGTTCCTCCCAGGTGAGCTCCTGATCCCCTTCATCAACCGCGGCCCGCGAGCACGGGCTGTGGTACTCACTTGGTGAGCCCATAGGCCACCTTGCCGAGGAAGCGCACGGCCCTTTCTCCAGTGATGTTGGGGAATTTGGCGTTTCTGAAGGCCACTTGAATGACCTGCGCCGTTTCCTGGTTCACTGCATGCAAAAGAAAAGAGGGAAGTTCACAAACTGCTGTCTTCGCTAGTTATATATGGGGGGGCACCCGCTGTATTAGAGCCATGGAAAAGTTCTGTCGAAGGCTCATGGTTCAACAGCCACAAACAAGCCATTCTCAGGGACTGAGCTCAGCTTTTCCGTAGCTGAGCTGCACTTTAGAAGCAGATTGTGGAAGGTCCATGCTGCGCTTGCCTTTCCACTGCCCAAGGCATTGACTTTACCTCAGGGCGTTTCTAGAGCAGACTGCCAAACAGCAGAGCTGTGTCCTCCAAGGAGGACATGGACTCAGCAGATCAGATGGTGCCTGACAGCACCAAGCACTCCCTCTCTGGAAAGGGCCAGGGAAATGGGAGACACCTGGAAAACACCCATCCTGCCCTCAACTTTGGAGAAAAACCTCAAACTGAGGTTTCCATACCCATTGCCATAAAGTTATTCTGCCTCTTCCAACCTCAATTTCGGGCACGTCTTCGGCATAGGAAAGTTTCTTTCCAGATGCACCCGCGTTCTGCTTGCCCCAGTGTCCTTCTCTGCACGCCCCTACACGTATCAACGCCTCCCCCAGGGGAAGCAAGAAAGCCGGCGTGGCGAGGACTTACTGAGCAGCGCCGCAGGCTTCGTCATCCTCCAGGCGATCCCCGTGGCGCTGTAGGGGAACGGCCCGAACTCACAGGCCGCTAGCGTGTGGACCAGCGCCACCAAGATCCCGACGGTCCCGCGCCTCATGGTGCTGACCCAGAGCATCCTCGGCCGGAGCGGAGAGCGCGGATGAGTTCGACTGCTCCTTAGCCCTTGCACGGGTGGTTTTCATACCTCCAAGCCGCGTGCGCTCAAAGCAGGACATGACCTGCTTCCTCTAGTTATCAAGACTCCTCACACATTTCCTAGTCTTCCTATAGTTCCCTTAATCCTCTTGGAGTCACATACTGCCTTCCTCCCGCAACAGGCACGCTCCCGGAGAGAGGACTCTTGTCAAGGCCAATGGGCCTCCCTCTTCTCCTCGCCTTCCCGGCGCGCGGGCTCACTGGGGCCCAAGGTTGGCCGGTTTCCTCCATCCCCGTCTGGCCGCATTGTTTTCGTGCTGAAGTGACAAAGTGAATGGCCCCAGGTGCCCCGGCGGGAGGCACTCACGGTCGCTGCCCCGCCGAGGGAGAGCGAGCGGCCGGAGCCTCCCTCCGAGCGTGACCAGGGCACAGGGGCCCAGGACAGGCTGCCCGAGCCGATGGCCACGTGTGGGGTGAAGAAAGCGGCGCGCCACACGCACCTGAGGTGTCTGTCCACATATCGAGCCTGCAGGATGCCCGGAGCTGTTGCTGCATCCCCTGTGGTGGGCCTAGCAAGGAGCTGCCAGTGTCTGGAGAGGGGAAACATCTTCCCAGGAAGCCGCAAAGGGCACCAGTGCGGGGTTGCAAAGGGAGCTGAACCCCTGGCTCCTCCTCAGCACCTCGATTGATTAAGCAGCACCCTGTAGGGTACCACGCTGGGCTCCTTCCCCGCTTCAGCTGCTTCCCCCAGCACCACATGCCTGCTAGAAGAGCCAAGGAGGAGAGGGGACTGGCGGGCATTGACCTCCAGCAGGAACAGGAAAGCCGGCTGCGATTTTCCGACTACAATAGCCAAAGAACCGGGAGGCGCGGGGAGCATCCCTGCCCTGGAGTAACCGGCCCGAGGAGGCTACCGCAGGGGACACAGCAGCCAGCTCGCAGCACGAGCCGGGGGAGACTGGCCTCCTTGCCTCCTCCTGCTTGAAAATGAAGCTTGCAAGAGGTTTCTCCACTGCATTGAGCGAGGCATGGGAGCATGGAGACCTGCGAAAGGGTGGCACAGGGACACCGCATGAGGAAATAATGCTATTTTGCCATTTCAGAAAGCAGGGCCTCAGCGGCAGATGTTGTGAGGGGTATTTGCTGCATAAGGCTTTGCCCGAAGGCCACGTGCTGCTCAGCACCTTGCTGCAGTGGGAGCGCTGTGGGCTTGTTTTTCCCCCCGGATCCAGAGCAGAGGTTCTCGGCGGCACTGCTAGCCTCTGACCCGAGCACAGGGTGTTCGGCTGCAGCTGCTTCCTGAGAGCCTGCTCAGAGACACGGCCCCCGGCTCCTCGCACGTCCCCACGGCGCTGGGGAGAGGAGAGCACCCCGCAGCCGGCCAGCAGCACCCAGAGGGGCCACAGAAACCCTCGAGGAATAGGAACATGGCGGGGGGCGCAAAGCAGACGCCCGCCTGCTGTCCTGGTGTCTTGCAAGCCCTGGACACCATGGAGGGGACAGGTCTGCCCCTCTTATGCAAGCAGAAGGGACAACAGGAGCAACATGGGAGGACAGGGAAGCAGCACCCTGCCCTCAGCCTCCCGGAGAACCCACCTGGAGTTACCCACACACAGCAAAATGACTCACCCTGGCATCTCCAGCCTGGCAAAGCCCAAGCTGATGCAGGAAGCCCTAGCTGAAGGCCCAGCTTTGTCCCTCTGAGGCTGCAGCCACATCTCACTCTGGCCCCTGTGGTGCTTTAAAGCTCCGGCAGCAAGAGGTTTTGAAGGCAGAGGGACTGTCAGCTTGGACAAGAAGTTATTTCTTACTGCTCCAAGCTGTGACCATGGCAGGGTTGTCATAGTAGGCAGCAAGCAAATTCACAAGCTCCTGTTTATGGTCACAAGGCTTTAAAATTAAGCACTAAAACCAAAAGTGGACATCAACAAAACCAAGCATGACTATGAGCATAACTCCACACACCCTCCTCTGCCTACACCAGCATTGCCTGCAGGAGGGAGAGTAGAAAGGAGGTCGCAGCAGGAACCATGCACACACGGAGCAGCTCGTGGGGATGAGGGTCCCGCCGGGGTGTGCGTGGAGCCGGCAGCTCTGTCTTGTCTTACCTAGGTTCCGTGAGAGTTAAGGGCAGAAGAAATCCAGGCCAACCAGACCTCAACAACTCCTCAAATAGACCATGTTTTAGCAAGACCTACAAGCAAGGAGGCTGAAATACGGAGACCATGTGCATCTCCCTTGCCTCCTTGGCAAGGACAAGGATGTGCTCGCAGAGGGGGAGCACTCGGAGGCCTCACACTGCTGTGGAGAGCTGGGTTTTGGTCCAGGTCTCGCTCTGCCAGCCCCTGGCCATGCCCAGCTGTGCGGCCAGGCTGCTTTCAGGGACAAGCTGGACAGCCCCCCGACACCCAGAGCTGCAGCAGCACTCACAGGACAAGGGTGAACATTAACACCAGGACACAGTTCAGGTGAGCCAAGCCAAACCCTTCCTCCCCTCCTGGCTTCTTAAAGCCCTCAGCCCCAAGGGGAACACATACAGGTTCAGGCAGGCAAAGACGACACAGCCTGGGAGCAGCCCAAAGGCTTCTTCACCTACTTCCTGCATAAGTAACAAAATTAAGATAAAAAATAAGCTCTGAAAATACTTTATTGAAAGACTATTGCTAAATTTTACCATCTTGCCTGCCTTTCCTCCCCTGCCCTCCTTTTCCCTCTTCCTCTAAAATTATTTCCAGCACATTGAAAACATAGTGAAAAAAGTACTTCAACAAGAGGTTAACAGGAGCTGTTGATTTTGAATAAGATTTATCAATTAAAAAAGAAACTTGGTGCAGCAACTAGTGCTGACCAACCCTGTTTAATGTCAGCCTCCTTCGAGATGAGGAGAACAGGCATTACAGGTCAAAGTGACTGCACAGGTTGTGCCCAAACACACACAGGCCAGGGCAGCATTTCTAGCCTAGCAGCTTGGCCATGGAGGAGCAAGCAGCACAAGGCAAAGCTGGGTGCGTGTTGGGACTCTTGTCCCTGGACAGTCTGTATCAAGGTAACTCGATCCCTGAGCCCAGATAACACTGCAGACTGCACAGAAGTCACTGTGCCAAAGGGATCGAACTGCAGCTTCCCAAACATCTGCAAGTTTCCCTGCCTCAGGAATGTCCATGACCTTTGTGCTTACACATGTTGTTTGCTCAAGGAAAGCCACCCAAGGCACTTAAAGGTTGAAAAATGTGTTTAAGGGACAAGGTTTAAATATCTGCAAGCATCCTTTTCACCCCCTGATAAACACATTTATTTTTCCAAAAATAAAAAAGGGGCAACCAAGAGCAAAGCCTGCCCTTTTGCATGGGTAACCTCCAGATTAAGTGCATACAAGTATAGCCACAAATGCCTGCAAGATTTATTGAAGGCCTTAATTGTATTTAAAATGAAAGGCAACACAATGAGGAAACTCCAAAATGCTCTGGAGTAGAAATGCATCTAAGGTGAACACACAACTTGACTGCTTCAAGTTTATAACAAAGCAGGGGGGAAAGGCTCTATTAAATAAATTCCTGCTATCTAGAATTAAATGCATTTTTCTCCCCTGATCTGGGAGTAGGAAAGTAAAGGCCTTGATTTTGAATCATCTGAATTTGACAACCTGAAATGTAACCTGCGACTCAGCTGACCCAAAGATAACTGCTTATCAAGAGGTCAGTCTTCATTTCCCTCCTTTGTTCCATAAGGAAATTGCACTGTCTTTCATAGGAAAAATATTTATGCAGAAAACAAGTTAAGATTGAGCACTATTACTGAAGCCATTCAACAAGTCCTTCCTAAAAACCCTGCTAGCACATATCCAGTGATTTATTGTCTGGAGATACTACACTCAGTGTAATTTAAATAGCATTTGAAACATTCCAACAGGAATCACATTGCACAGGAAGAAGCAACGTGCTTCTTACATTTCTGCACACACCTGCCACAAGCCTGCACATCACACAGGGCTCCAATGCCAAGCTCCTACATAGGGACCTAACCCACAAGGGAACAAGTTCTTCTTTGGAATGAAGACAAGCCCAGCACGTCTTAGTCTTGACACTGCAATCACTTAAGGCTTCTTGCAGCTTTGTCAGGGTGAGCCAGAGGCAACACTGCCCCTTTTTGCTCATGTATTGGAGCTGGAATTTTGATTTCACCAGGTAGATTTAAAACTCGCCGAAGCTTCAGGCAGGTAGACCAGTGCGGAGTCAGTTGCGGACTGCACGAGGCCCTTCTGGCAGGAGGGATGCAAAGAAAGTCTTGAAGAAAAGCCACGCCGTGCTCAAAAACGATGGGCTGGCCTGCTGGTATTCCAGTAACACTTGTCCTTCCTCAGGAGAGGCCTCCAATTCATTGGCTCTGCCTGCATTTTCTTGCTACAGAAATAAAAGAGCATTAGAAACATTCTGTTTGACACCAATTATCACATTTTCATTGCTCTTTCAGCATGAGGCATTTCTATATGAAAACATCATCCCTGAACAACCACACAGCTGGAAGAGCAAACTGTGCCCTCTTGCTGCTTGTTTACCCAGCAAACACCTTCAAGAACATTGTGGTGAGAACAAACACCTACAGCAAGAAAGCAGGGACACAAGACCAGCACAAGGGAACTGTTCACACATTTACAGCCATACTTGGATTGCTTAAGCATTCAAGTAACTCCTCATCACTAGATTAGGCTAAACATTGCCTTCAGTTGCACTCTTCTGTCCAGCTTGCAGTACAACTACTGTTACTGCAGCAATAATGAACCAACCTACTGCAAATATCTGCTTTTTCCCCAGTTGCATGAAAATGTGATGAGCCTGTGAGTTCCGCTAAAGGTACCTTCTTCTAACCAAGAGTTTTATGGCATAATGTGCCAGAGCTCTTCACTTATGAAGAATCATCAGGATTATAATCTCAGAAGATAATTCACTTCCATTAAAAGAATTCACTGAGGACATACCAGTGGATAGAAACTACAGAATACCATGCAGGCCGGTATACACTGTAGAAGGGGAATTGGCCATACCAAAGAAAAGTAGGCTGGTGATTGTCCCGCCATGGAAAGCAGTTTGACAAGAAAATGAAGCCTCCCAGGATTTCATGTTCATGGTTTAAAACAAGACATACCTGTAAGTTATTGTTCTGATCCTGGTTTGCAGCAGCCTGAGCCGGAACATTATTTGGGAAAGGCTGAACCGGTCTTCGTCTAAATGGAAGCCACCCAACATGATGCCTGGAAAAGGCAGCAGGTGTTATTAATGCTGGGGAAACTCCTGCTTGTAGCATCCAGACAGTTCAGGTAACCTCTGCTCAAAGCCTTACAAACTGCAAGTTCAACTTATTGAGCTCTAGGCTGCCCCAACCCAGACAGATGCCACAGGAAGCACCTTCATAGAATCATAGAATCATTAAGGTTGGAAGGGACCTCTAGAGATCATCCAGTCCAACCTCCTGCACACGCAGGGTCACCTACAGCACATGGCACAGGAGTGTGTCCAAGCAGGTTTGGAAGATCTCCAGAGAAGGAGACTCCACAACCTCTCTGGGCAACCTGTTCCAGTGCTCTGGCACCCTCACTGGCAAGAAATTTTTCCTTAAGTTCCTGTGGAACTTTTGGTGCTTCAGTTTCTGGCCGTTTCCTCTAGTTCTGTCGGCAGCCATCAGTGAAAAGAGGCCAGCATCATCCTCCTCACTGCCTCCCTTGAGGTATTTATAGACACTGATTAGATCCATGTGGCCTCACTAGGGCTGAGCAGAGGGGCAGGATCACCTCCCTCGACCTGCTGGAGATGCTCTTCTTAATGCAGCCCAGGATCCCATTGGCCTTCTTGGCCACGAGGGCAACTGCTGCCTCATGGTCAACTTGTTGTCCACCAGGATGCCCAGGTCCCTCTCTGCAGAGCTGCTCTCCAGAAGGTCAGTCTGCAGCCTGTACTGGTGTCTGGGGTTATTCCTCCCCAGGTGCAGGGCCTTGCACTTGGCCTTGTTGAATTGCATGAGGTTTTTCACCACCCAATAACCTTCATAACCTTCTTTTAACAGAAGGTATGAAAGAAGATTCAAGAACTGGCAGTGCTGCTTAATCAGGACCCTAAGCCTGCTGGAAATGATCAATATCATGAGGAGAACTTGGAAATTGCTTTTTTAGGTCAACTCTGCCAGAATAAGCTTTAACATGAGATTTTAAACATATCATCCACTATCACTCACTCTTCACCCAACTCAGGGGCAGGCTATAGTTACAATTTTGATGCTAAACCCTAAGTTATAACCAGGATTAAGGGAGTGCTTCAACTTTTCTTCACAGAAGTCATATGAAACTCAAATAGGAAAAAGCTCACAGTAGAGCATAATCTTTCAATTAAATGCTTTCAAATAAAATATTATCTATTAAAATCATATACTTACAGATACATCAAAACAGTGCCACCCATGACCAGGAGAAATCTGCTGACACTGGAGTAGAAATAGATGATGTTGACAAAGACATAGAACAGTGTTGCTGAGTAGAGCCAGTCCAGCCAATCTCGATTGCCACCCTCCTCCTCTTCCTCCATCAGTGGCCCCCCCTGGGCATTCATCCGCAGGTTTTGGTTGGCTGCTGCGTTCACCTGCGGAGCAACGTTCTGGTTTCCAGGCTGATTCTGTGCAGGAAACGGGTCTGGGAGAGGAGCTGGGGGTGTCACTGGTGCCACCGGTATCTCCTGAGCACGCTGGGTACGGGATGGGTCAGTAGATGCAGCAGTAGTAGCCAGGCTGGAAAACAGAAAAGGACAGAATAAAGCTTGGTCAAAAGATTTTGCATTTTATGTTGGTATTAAAAATGCTCAGTAAAACTAGAGTCACATTATACATGAAAGTAGAAGCCAAAGTCTAGGAACTACAGGAGTAGTAGATGCAAGTTTCAGTTCTTCCCAGTTAACAGATGAGTGATGACTTGAGCAAATCAGCTCATACCAATTTTGCCTTCAATTTTAAGAAAATATATGTATTTTCTACAAGCTTTCCAAATAAATTTAAACTGTTCAGGAAGCTTAAAAAACACACACACACAATCTCTGGCTTTACCTAGGACAAGGATTTACAGGTAGTGGTCTATAACCTACTAAAAATGGCCAGAAAGATGGCTCACAAGTAGGATTTAGTTTATTGTGCAGATACCTGCCCTCCCACTGAAAAAGGTTCAAAATCTGCAAGCTGCAAGACCCAAAGCCACATCCTAGATGCGAGCCAAACACTAAGTGTCAGTTAGAGGCACATGCCACATATTTCAACACCATAAAATATATGGTACAAAAGTATCCCAACAGAGTTGCATCAGAAAAGAGTTGCCACAAGCTTTCTATTTCTTTATATTATAGTTTTTACTTTCCACTGGTAACTTCTTATAAGAAAAACTTACTATTGCATGTAATATTGTCTTGCATAGATCTGCTGAAACCAGGACATCTGGAGCATGCTGTAAGTTGTGTAAGCAGAGAACCCAGGAGCCACATTTTGGAAGGGATGCTGAGCTGTTTCAAGGCTTGTTTGAAATGTAAACATAATACAGTTAATAAATACAGGACAAACTGGAGCTCACACTCCAAAGCCTGCCAGATTGACAGCATTTTAACATCCTGACTGATGCATGCAACAGGCTTCTTTACCTGGTTCCAGCACCTGCTGAAGACTGGTTGTCAGAAGAGCATCTGTGTCTTTCACCATCTGAGGACGATGCAGAAGCTTCTTGACCAGCTTCTGGTGATACTTTTGGCTGAGCAGTTTCAACCTGGGGAAAACAATGAAGTTGGTGAGGACTTGCCCAGAATACTGAAAAAAGTCTTATGCAAAAGAGATGTCACACCACACTGCACCATTGCACAGTTCATAAGCTTTGTACTGCTACACCTCTCCTCTAGGTGCTGTCACACTACTAACACTGCTCTTAATCACCATTTTAAAGTTCCTTAAAATTGACCTGCACTTAGTCTCTCCATTTTTGTATTTTATAATTGTCACAGAGTCAGGCCTGGCTTAATTATAAAAATGCAATTGGAGAAATACTCAGCTACACCCAAAACAGTTTGATTTGTAAGCTTTAAGCTCTATATACACTCAGGTACATAAACTGTTGCATAGAGAGGCTAAGTCAAAAGCTGCTCTGTGCTTATGTAGCTGTATGATATCCAGGGAAGAGCTGGCTCATACCTGGCAAACTCCAGGTAGCAGGCTAAATACAATTTGTCTACAATGGACAATATAGGAGTATCTTTATTTAAAGTAAAACACTCATGGTGTAAAGTACATCTTAGGCCACATAGCAGCTAGTGCATGTAACACCAGCAAGTCCTCAGTTCAGTCTTCATGCTGATTTTGAGCTTCCTGCATGCTGTCTTTCCAAGTCTTCAATGACAGCAGTTAAAACAGTCTTCATCTCCTGAAGGTGACAGGTTACACGCTATTTAATATAACTGAATATACCAGATACTGACTTTGCCTGGTAGAAAAGTGCTGTATTTTACAAGTAGGCTGTAGCTTTGATATTTCTCAACAAATGCAAGCAGAATCTCCTTATGAAAGACAAATCAATTTGCATCGACCTTAGTCAGAACAGCTTTCACATCTCTGGGCATTAGAACTACCCCCGGCAGCAGTACTGCTATTACACCTGCAAGAAAAGCCTACAGCATCAGTGAAGTATAAAATAGCCATTACTTCCCATTCTTCAGATAGTCACAAAAATCAAGACTCAGTAGCACGTTAAGTCAGTAAACCAACCTTTGTGCTGGTTTCTTGGGCAGTCACAGAAGTCTTGAGGTTGTACACCAGATGAAGGGCATGCAATTCCTCATGCTAAAACAAAACATAAGCAAGGGCACATTAAAAAGCAGTTGTTCCACCCTGCTTAATATACCAGCACAGCATAAAAGAATTTCTATACCTTTGGCAGCAACTCTCTCAGACAGAGATGATCAAGCAGCAGCTTCCCAGAGTAAATCAATCTCTGGTCATCTTCAGGCTTTGGAGAAAGACAGAATATAGTAGTTACTTCCTCTGGTAAGTGCACGCAAACATTAGACATTTACATAATGCATAAAATTGATTAATATAATTGGTGGTCAAAGGCATAGAGGTAGGCAATTTTAACTACCTTGCACATTAAGCTGAATAGGGAGCTGTGCACATCCAAAAAGGGAAAAATGATCCATTCAGTTGATTACTACAGTAATACCAAAATCAACAAGACAAGCAGCAGGACTTGCTACATGCCAACACTGACAGCCCTGACAAAAGCCCCTGTGCTGCTTAGAAAGGGAAGCTTGCAGCACTGTCCAGTCTGAAGAGCACTGAGGTGCAGTCAAATAAATCTGTTGCACCCCAGGGACATCTGAGCAGCTGTTCACCAAAAATCCTCCTACTGCTGCAGGACAGGGTAAACACATCAATCTTGTTCCGGGGCAGTGACCCTCCCCAGAAGGGAGGCAAGTCCTCACGTCACTTATTAGATCTCTCAGACATGCTAGTAAGTCACATCTCAAGAGGCCACTGAGAAGCTCCCATGCATGATGCAACGTGGCTGGAAGGGCAGTGACCCTCCCCAGAGGGGAGGCAAGTCCTCATGTCACTTATTAGATCTCAGACATGCTAGTAAGTCACCTCTCAAGAGGCCACTGAGAAGCTCCCATGCATGATGCAACGTGGCTGGAAGCCAGATCAGCATCCGGAAGCTGAACGCAGCAGCTCCCATCCACAGGACTTCGTCATCGAGAGGCAGAAGTGCATATCCTCCAGGGAGGACATTCTGTGCGTGCCCTCATGCCATGGGGTGAGACAGAACAGCACTGCACACCTCCCTGAACCGCCACAACAGCGGACTGCAGCGCAGAGAGCTTGCAAAATCTGCTCCAGGGCTGCAAACACCCTGAGCCACTGCCTTCAAGGTCTCCTGTTTCACAGCACAAGAACCAGCTGTTCCTACTAAACCAGGAGAGTGCCCCAACCCACTATCCACACCCAAAACACACTATGGGATTCCATTGATAGCATTCCACAGGACACCTTGTGGATACATAAACTTTTCACAGAAGTATTTATCGACCTTGCCCACAGCTCAAACTCTCCCAGCAAGAACAAAAAACTTTCCAGACAGCTGTTGTAAACACCCCTCAAGCACACCCCGTGCGTATCAGGCCCAGCTAATATTTAACTGTGGTTAAACAAGAAACCAAATCAACCCCCAAGCACCTTCCCTGCACGGCCTGCCCAAGTTTCACCTCTATATTTAACAGCAAGCACCGGGCAGCTGATGCAACCTTGCCCCCCCCACCACCTCCCTCCCCCGGATCATCTGTAGAAGCAGGTGCTAGAAACGCTCCTCCCTCCCAAACATATTTGCTTATTTATGTTTACTTCTTTTTTTCGCAATGCCGCTCAGGACTTGCGTCACCTGGTCAAAGCGACGGCTCCGCCGAGACTCTTCCCGCGGGGGAGGCGGAACCGTTAAAACGGTTAGGAGAGGGGAAAAGCGGGTGACAGCATGTGTACTCACGGGTGCCTCCGGGACGAGGCGCCGCAGCTCGGCCTTGAGGCGCCGCACGGTCCAGGCGGGCCGGGCGCGGAGGCGCAGGTCGGGGTGCCGCTGCGCGGGGCTCCGGACCAGCAGCGCGAGGGGCTCCTCCATGGCGGGCGCGCTCC